TTGTGGGGAGGGAAAAGGAAAGGAGTTTATAAGCCGCTCTGAGACACCTTTGGGTAGTAAAGGGCGGGGTATAAATCCAAACTCCTCTTCTTCTTCTTCTTCTTCTTTTCTGTCGATAATTCATTTTCTACACTCGCAGCATTCCCTGCCAGAATGCAACACATCCCCAGCACTTTGAATTAGCACCAGAGCTTTAAGAGCTCTCCAGCTGTCACCTGGAGATTGGCAACAGCTTGTCTGGAGGGTGGGGTCTATGGCATTGTATCTGTCTGAGGTCCCCCTCTTACTTCTCCTCAGACCCCACCCTCAGCAGGCTTCATCCGTAAAATATCCTTGAAGTTTCCAACCTGGAGTTGGCAACCCTATGTTCTTTCCAGGCAACCATCAGCCTACCTTTATATGCCTGTCTGTCTGCAGGTTTACATTCCCCCCCCCACAGCCTCTGCCTAGGGAAAGGGCAGTCTTTCCCTGCAGTGGGAACCAAAGCAGCTGACATCATTCTCTTCTCCCTCGTATGATCCGCACAACAACCCTGTGAGGTATGTTAAGGTTGAAAGTCTGTGAATGGTCCATAATCCCCCAGGCAGCTTTTATAACATGAACCTGGGACCTGCACACCATCCTCTGAAGCGCTCTCAGGTACATATCTGTGGCAGAAATGGGGTGACTGCTGGCACCTTTTCCTATAATTTTTTGCCTTGTCGTATTTTGCTTGTGGTGTGATCTGTATTTTTTGTGGTGTGACATGGTGTTATTGGGTTTGTTTCTTTTGAAGGGGAAGTGATGTGTTGTGAGTGAGGACATATTTTACCTCAGAATACACCAGGTCGCATATGCAAGTGACAGTTCCAACTCTGTGGGTGGGGGGAGTTTGAGGTGCGGAATTGAGTGAAGTCCAATCAGATTCCATATGCAAATGACCTTGAAACACTGGCCCAATCAGAGAAAAGTGGCCTAGGCTGCAGTGGGCGGGAGAGAACTCAGGCAACACAGCCAGTGGACACATCACGGAGCCAACTGATTTTGGAGTGCATAGAAAGTTGTGGGACCAAAACTCAATTATATATAAGGACAGGATATGATGGTGTTATAAATTTGTGTATCCAGTTAGACAATCACCAGCCATTTTCTTAGTTAGCAGTTATGGAGGAGTGGG